AACAGGTTTTTATCTCATCATCTATCATAAAATGAGGAAGTGACACAGCCAAACACACAAAGAAAAAGCATTTTAAATGAAGCAAGATTGTAGCTTTGAATGTTTGATCGAGCTAGTTATTAATCAAAACCAATTTTTTTTTATTTTTTTTGTTGTTTGTTTGTTTTTATGGGACTTGTGGCATCCCCCTGCATTGTGGTGAATTTTTATGTATCTCTTTACCCTTTTTATGAATGCATTTATGGTGGAAATGGCATCTAGTAAGCAGCACGGTGGCACGGTGGTTAGCACTGTTGCCACACAGCAAGAAGGTCCTGAGTTCAATTCCACCATCAGGCCGGGGTCTTTCTGTGTGGAGTTTGCATGTTCTCCCCGTGTTTGCGTGGGTTCTCTCCGGGTACTCCGGCTTCCTCCCACCGTCCAAAGACATGCAGCTTGTGGGGATAGGTTAATTGGATAATCCAAATTGCCACTAGGTGTGAATGTGAGTGCGAATGGTTGTCTGTCCCTGTGTGTTAGCCCTGCGACAGACTGGCGACCTGTCCAGGGTGTACCCTGCCTCTCGCCCTATGACAGCTGGGATAGGCTCCAGCGCCCCCCGCGACCCTGAAAAGGATAAGCGGAAGCGAATGGATGGATGGATAATAACAAAATGTGATGATTAACAGAGTACTCTTTGGTCTTTTCATGTTATTGGCAAACTTATGCACTTGATATTTATAGTAGATACTATTATATTAAATTGATGTGGGTATAAATTGGATATTGTTGTTCTGAAATAACAAAGATACAGTGCTAAACAATGGGTGCTTTAGGCCATTGATAGTTGTTTGCTAGGAAACATGATGGGATCATAATATTTGGTCAATATAAGAACGCTTAATAGCCAAGCATGCTGATGTAGGTGAAGATCTAAAAGACAATGTCCTAAAATTGCAACCAAAAGGGACCCAAAATAAAAATAAAAACAACAACTTTATTAAGGCTGATGAGACAGCCCTGGAATGCAAAACCAATTAAAGGAAAAGGAAACTCAGTCCACAATGGTAATATATGTGGACAGCGTGACGCTTTTGTACTGCATTCAAATAATTATCTACATCCGATTGCCTCGAGGCCTTATGACATCCTCGACACTATGCAGATGAACATATAAAAGTGATGAACACCTCTTTCGTCGAATTTTGAGTGTTTCAATCAACTTTGTTACATCTGTGGTGTTCCCGCCGTCAAAAGTAACTGCCATAGATAATGAATAGAACACCCCAGACCCTCTTTGGCCTCTGACCCACTGCATGTCCCACTCAATGACCACTGAACGACCCATTGACCCACCCACTGAACTGAATTCGGTAATGAAAAATGTTTCTTATGTTAATTTAAGAGCACTAAAGTAACCCCTTACTTTAGTGCTCTGGGGGTGAAAACAACCGTAGGGTTAAAAAGAAGCACCTAGCCGTGTAGTCCACCTTTAGAAATATTTTTAAGTAAGCGAATGAATCATTTTAAAGAGCCCACTGAATTTGAGCAAGGTACTGTAATAGTATGCCACCAAATATTTAAAATTAACATTAGTATTTTAACAGTTAAGATGTCTTTTAGCTGAATTCCTGCTTGTGTGAAGCCCTCACATAGAGTGTGAGCATGCTGTGGGCCTCCTGCACATGCACAATGGGCACCGTAAAGGTCCTTCTGTGCTTAGGTATCTTAAGTAAGGTTTACTTAGATTTTTTTTTTTTAATTCTGGGAACTAATTCGATTTTACAGTGTATACTTCATGCTGGTGCTGGGATGTGGGTCTATCTGCAGTGTCCTCATACAGTCTGCTTCCTTGGAGCCTGTTTGAAAGTGTGAATAAAAGAAAGCTAATGTTAAAGTCTACACTGTGAGTGGACATTGTGTTTTAAGTTTAACATATTTTGCATTTTGTTAATGTTTTGTGACTTGTACAGCTGTGTATACAGATACGTCTTTTTTTTTCCTGTGTCCATATAATATTTTATGGGAAATGCCATCCATGATGATGCCATAGCCCTGACACTACACACTGCCCTGTCACACCTGGAGAAGAGAGACACGTATGTGAGAATGCTGTTTGTAGATTACAGCTCAGCATTCAATACCATCGTTCCCTCGAAGCTGGACAGGAAACTGCAGGATCTAGGACTGAGCAGCTCCCTCTGCAGCTGGATCCTTAGCTTCCTGTCTGACAGACGCCAAGTGGTCAGACTGGGCAGCATCACCTCATCCCCCATCACACTGAACACTGGTGCTCCACAGGGGTGTGTACTGAGCCCTCTCCTGTACTCACTCTACACCTACGACTGCACGGCCACTAACAACTCCAACATCATTGTGAAGTTTGCGGACGACACTACAGTGGTGGGTCTTATCACCAACAGTGATGAGACGGCTTACAGGGAGGAGGTCAGCGCCCTGACCCACTGGTGTCAAGACAACCATCTCACCCTCAACGTCGCAAAGACAAAGGAGTTGATAGTGGACTTCCGGAGGTGCAGAGAAGTACACACCCCCATCACCATCAACGGCGCTGCTGTGGAGAGAGTGAGCAGCTTCCGGTTCCTTGGTGTACATCTGGCTGAGGATCTTACGTGGTCAGTACACACAAACAAAACAGTGAAGAAGGCGCAGCAGCGCCTCTTCTTTCTCAGGAGACTGAAAAGATTCGGCATGAGCCCCCGCATCCTCAGGACCTTCTATCACTGTGCCATTGAGAGCATCCTCACTGGATGCATCACCACCTGGTATGGCAACAGCACCGCCTACAACTGCAAAGCTCTCCAGCGAGTAGTGCGGTGCTCTGAACGGATAATTGGAGGTGAGCTTCCCTCCCTCCAAGACATCTACAGGAAGCGGTGCCTGAGGAAAGCGGGGAGGATCATCAAGGACTCCAGTCACCCCAGCCATAAACTGTTCAGACTGCTTCCATCAGGAAGGAGGTTCTGCAGCATCCGGTCCCGTACCAGCAGACTGAGAGACAGCTTCTTCCATCAGGCCATCAGACTGCTGAACACTTCATAGACACCTCAGCTTCACTACTGGAACTTTAACATTATGCACTCCATACTGTACAGTAATGCCACTGTTTTGCACATGTCTCAACTCTGTATATTTTTATATATTTTATTTATTGTTTACTCTATTTAATTTGTAAAATATGTGTACACACACACACACACACACACGTAGAAAAATATTTAGTATACACATCCAGAAATGCATATACTATTATATATTGTACATATATTTATTAGTTTCAGATGTAGCCATTCTTGTATTTTGCTTGTTTACATTATTGTATTTTGCACAACTCTGTTGCTTGTGAAGCTCGCACACAAGAATTTCACTCACATGTGCTGTACCAATGTACCTGCACATGTGATGTGACAATAAAAGTGATTTGATTTGATTTGATTTGAATGGGAAAACCACAACCTTTAAAAGACATTTTAAAATATAAACTAAGCATTATGAGTGTTCAGATTGATTTGTCTGCTTTAATGAGTTAGTTTTTTTTCTGTAATGCTACATACATTACAATACAAACAGTCTTCATTTCCACTTCCTCTAAAAGAATGATTAAAGAGCTTTTTAGAGCTGCCATGTGGTTTTATACCAGATGTAAAAATGTTAAAAATAGTCATTATAACTTAGGGGTTTCTGAATAAAAAAACAAACAAAAAAAACCCAAACAAAAACAAAAAAAAACTACAGTTATATAACATAATTGCTTTAGGTGAAGCACCTAGTGTTTTTAAGAAAGCCAAAGATCATCATGGCTGTTTATGCAGTATGTAAACATTTTGAAACTGACGTTAATCAACAGACTGTTAGGATGCCTGGGTCGTTGACCCAGGGTTTTTGAGTTTACGATATTATTTATACTGTCTAGTTTTTGGTTTCTTTGAGTTCTGTCTTATGGCTTATGTCTCTGTCTTCTTTAGTTGCTCTGTCTCCCCTATCACCTGCATCCCCTTGTCTAGTTCGCGTCTATGTGTATCTTAAGTTCCTATATCCCCGTGTTCAGTCAGTGTTTGTGTCTGCCCTGTTCCCACGTCTCTGTTCCCTTTGTAGTGCCTGCATATGAGTCTGTGTCTTTGTTCAGTCTGTGTTATGTGTTTCCTGTTTTACTTTGAAAGTCCATGTCTGATGTTAATGTGTCTGGTTTTGCTTCCTCTTGTCTCGTTAGGCCTGATTTGCCCCAGCTGTGTTTCCCTCCTGTTACCCATTCCCTGATTGCTCCCTCTGTGTATTTAAGCCCTGTGTTTCTCTGTGTCTGTGTCGCGATCTACCGTTTATTTTGCTGTGTGTTTTGTCAATCTGCCGGTGTTAGTTTATTTTTGACCTTTTTCCCCAGTTATGTTATGTTATGTTTGAGTTCAGCATTAAAGCTGTTTTGGTTTAAGTTCTGTCTCCGGAGTCTGCACCTTGGGTCCTATTCCTGCCTGCACACAGCCACACCTAACACAGAGATAATAAATGCAACTATTTCCCCAGTAATATTCAGTATGCGTTAGATGCAGTATGATCACAAGTGCTTCATATTAAATTATCAGGGATTTTAAAACATATTAAAACAAAATTCACAAACATTTATGTACCCATTGTCAGCACAGTTCAAAATGATGTGGTAAAGATAAAACCAAAACTCTTGTAACATGTCGCAACTTCAGTTTTGAAGGGTGGTTTTAAAAGCTCAAACTTCTTCAAAATGTTACCAAAGCTGCTGGCTAACTGATGAAATCAAGATAGTTTATCTTCAAGTCACAGACGAGTTCTTTTCCTATCTTCCATTTTTTCATATTAAAGAAAAAAATAACTTCAGTTACATCTTTTGGGTTTTTTAAGGCACAGAGCCCACTTGAACAAAGACAACCAACTGCACGGC